ACTTTATTTTCACAAGGCCACATCCCTGGGATGTTTGGGATCATGGTCAGCCTGTAACAGTTTAATGCACTGTCAGAGGTGTGTGAGTGAGGCTTGTGTGATGGCCAGAGAGCCATCTGCTCCCTAGGATGACCTCCAGAGTCAGTGGGATGGAGAAAGAAGGCAGTGCCCACTTCCCACTCACCAGCCAGGCCAAAAGCCAGTGATGAAAGTGGAGGGTTTTTTTTCTTTTTTATGGATGTACACTCAGGATACTAATCACAAAATAAATGTGGGGGATTTTTAGTGAGTATGCCTGATAACAAAACAATATGTAACTCCTTCAGGTTATTGTCTCAGTGGAGGTAAGAGCTAATTTACACCAGAGACATCCACTGATTCTAGGAAAGTTCTGGAAATTTCTTTGAAAAATTCTAAAGTCTAAGAAAAAAACAAAAATAAAAAATATGAACTTAATTTAGACAGAAATTAATAAATTGTATTTAGCCCTTTTTATCTTAACTTGCAAAAATTGCACCTTGCTGTAGGTCTACTCTAAGTTACATGTTCTGCCTATCAAAAATCCTTGGAAACTGATTGCCTAAATGTTGGATGCTGCCCACTGGACAGCAGAGAGTGGTACCAGCCCAGAGACTGTGGAACAGGGCACAGACTGGGGCTGCAGCAACAGGTTTTTTCTGTGCTCTATCGCCCCCAGATCCCACCACATTCTGAATGTGTCCACATGGCTATTCAAGTACACCAGAAGCTAATGGAAACAGATTTTTATGTTCTCTCTCACATTTTCCATGCCAATAATGGTTGCTTCTCGGTTAAGTTATTGTCGGCAGAGCACCATTTTTTTTACCTTTAGATTGGAAAACAATAGCAGTACCTGATGGCACCTAAAATTTTAAAACTAATCTTTTTTTCTGGAAGTCAGTGTGATATTAAATTCAGTATTTGCAAAGGCTTTTTTTTTGTTGTTGTTCTAATACCTGAGTTATTTTAGCTCATAGCCCCAACTCATAATTGCATCAGCTTCCATTGCTGATAGGCTGAAGATAACGAACCCTCAGTTTGGCATACAGGTTGTCACTAAACAAAATATCTGTTTAGCAAACCACCAGAATTTGTGGATGAGAGGAAGCAGATGTATCATTAAGCACTAAATGCGAATATCATTTACAGTAGATGTCATGTTTCATTTTGATAAACTGCAAAAAAAACCATGTGAAAGATGCAGCCCTGTGTATCCACTGCTGAAAGCAGTATTCTGAAAGGTAACATTAAGATACTCTGCTGGGCTGGCAAAGCTAAGATTTATTGGAGAATATGATATATGACCCAAGCATTACCATAAAAGATAATGAAATGTGATCTGATATACGAGCTGGTATCCCATATAAAATGTGCAGAGAAAAGAAACTGTAACAAATACAATCTTCACTTTGTGGAAAAGGCACACATGGAGTGCAGGGGTTTGACCAGGACCACCCAAATGTCATCAGCTATTTGTGGTCTTTGGGAGGCTGTAACCCAATCTTCCTTCATAGACACTGACTGTCCTTGTAGCTGAAGAGCATTGTTACTGTTATTTTTCATTGCCTCTAATGATCAAATACATATTAATGTAAATAAGAAGAGACAGTGAAACGTTCTTGAAATGGTTCTGTTGTTGAGGGAAAAAATCCTTCTATTTACCTGTCATAGTCCTGTCACCATCTCTTGAGTGACAATTTACTGCTTTTAATGCATCCATCTCTTTCCCTCATTTTGAACGTTTTCCCTCCTTTCTCCTTTCCCTCCTTCCAATTTAATCTCATTTCTAATGCCAGTCTGCATAGGATGCTCATCTTCTAAATCACAAGTTAGTTGAAAGGAATACTTGGAAATGACATGCTTCTTGGGGCTGTTCTAATTCCTTTCTGCAGTTAGTTTTGTTAAGACTTTTTGCTTCAGATTTCTCAAAAATATTTCTCAACAACTTTATTTTTCTTTCTTTTTCTGGAATCCCTTTTCTTCATGGATCCTTCCCCCCACTTCCTATTATTCATTTTCTTCAGGTATTTACACTGTCTCCCTTATTATCCATCTGAAATATGTAATATGTATGAAGCAAGTGCAAATCATACTACATTACCATCATAATTAACAGTAAAGCTCCTTCTGCAGTGGCTGATGATTTGCTGCTGGAAAGGCACAGAAAGACACCACTGAAGTGTGATACAGGGATGGCTTATGGTTTTCCAGTGTCATTTTTTGTGGATTGTCTATCCCATTTGCAACTCCATTGAAATAAGGTGAATACAGGCAAGAGCACTGAGGCTCTTCTGAAATATTAGAATGATGCTCATTATTAAGACCAGAACGAATAGTTATGATTTGTCATTGCAACTGTGCAAAAAACAAGGATTTATATCAGAAGTACCAAGTACCAGCAAGTTGTTACTTTACAGATGAGGCCATACTCTCCATCTGCTGAAATGGAGCAGTGCAATGTCAGAAAGCAAAGTGACAGGCATGGAAGCAGGAGACCATCTCTTCGCATGTATATCATGTGAGCAAAGGGGACTCCAGGAGGAAAACAAGGGCATTGAAAACTATTGGGAGTGTGAGGGGAAGTGGCAACACAGCCATGTAGTATGGCTGGTTTCCAGATGGGTCACAACATCTTCCCAACAGGGAGTCAACCTTGAGGAGAACAGGCACAGGTCAGTGAAACAAGCGTACCACCAACAGTTTCCTGGGGTGGTGAGTGCTAGCTGAAGCTCCTGGGATTCACCAACCTGCCTGTGGAGCTGAGAGAGATGGACTTGCTGTGCTGATGCTCCTCCCATGCAGCAGAGGCTGAGCAGAGGAGTGGGTGCTGGCTCATTGCTGCCCTGAACTGCACCTGCAAGGCAGCCACATCCCCTGACTGCCAACACCTCTATAGGAAAACAGAAAACACTGATTTTTTCCAATGCCTAATGGTCCTAGCTGATAAAAACTGCTGCCAGAGTGACACAGAAGACAGTGAGTGGTGAGGACAGGCACAATTGCTATGGATGGTTCATATGTGCAGAATGAGAGATGTGGCTCACTTTTATTCATTATGCCAAAAGATGCTGGGTCCAGTCTGTGAGCCAACCTCCTTCATGCTCTCAATCCCCTCTGAAGCTCACAGCACAATTAATGATAAATGAACAGCCATCAATTTAATTTCAAGAAAGCAATCGGGGCTCAATAGCAGTACAGTGCAAGTGTTAAACAGTTAACTGCACGTGACTAATTATACTCAAAAAATGGGGTGGTTTTGTTCTGCTGACATTTATAAATGGTTAAGCCTTCATTTTCATAGTTTATGATGTCAGATGAATCCCTTGGGAAACTATTTCCTTCCGAATGATGTCTATAATTCTGTGCTGAGTGCAATTTACCAACAATTGTAGAGCTTTAAAGCATACAGTAGGCTCCCTTATTTCTGTATCAAGCAACTTGACTTTTAAGATAATTTGTTAACTGCAGGAAAAATATATAAACAATGTAATTTTCTTGTAAACAGCTGCCATGTACGACACACAGTATAATTGGTAACCTCTGCTGAAAGCATGAACAATGAGAGACACTTGTGAATGTGGGTGTACAAAATGAAAAGCGCTACCTTAGGCTGCATCTGTACCGGGTCTGCTCAGCTGGAAAAGTAAAACAAGCTAAAAAGCCTGCTGCTGAAAAAGGTGTTTTTTGGAAAGGGAAAAAAAACAACCCCCACATCTTTCCTAAGGCTTGTTCATATTCCTTTTGCCAGGATGTGGCAGAAGCTGGTGAGCTTGTTTGGCACCTGTCCCCATCAGGTGGTGATGGCAGCAGTGCTGGGGTTCTACAGTACAGCTATTTGGGACTCAGACCTCTGCTTCCATGGGAAATATGGGTGCAAAACAGCCATTTCTGAATATCAAAATGACTCACTGTGCACTAGAGCTGGTCATTGCCAGAGCCCTGCCAGATTCACAGTGACAGATGGCAACAGAGCTTGGGTCTTTCTTCCCAGGATATCAGCATGGAGGACCCTTAGCTGAGTTCTCAGCAGCTCAGTCTGCTTTTTTGTGTGCACAGAAAGACCTCTCTCATCTCTGGTGACCAAATGGATAAGGATACAGCCCTATGCATCTTGGTGAAGCTGTTCTCACATTCATGGTGAGGCCTGTACTGCACTGTACAGCAGCTCACAAAAGCTTTGGTCAATAAAGAGAAAATATACAATTCACTGAAAGCAACACATTCAAAGAATTTGCTTAGAGATGCGTAGTGATAGGATTCTTCCTTAGCAGGAGTTAGAAAGATAAATCATAGTTTTAAAAAATTGCTGGGAGCCTCATAAGCTGCACCACTACAGCACATTCATTAACTCACTGCAATCATTGGTACTCTGAGGGCTCTGTTTCCTGAATAAGCTGCTAGGAGAGGAGAAAGAGGATTTATTCCTGGAAGCATGTTGTTCTGAGCACATCCTTCATCTGGCCAGTGAAAAGATTTGTTTTCCTCTCCTATTCAATTTGCTTTCTTGCAGGACTGCCTTTTGTGGAACACCTCCCTGGGCAGGCCCAGAGAGGCCTCTCCTGGGCAATAAGCAGGCTGCCAAAAGCCTTCCCCAGCCACGTACCCTCCCTTATTACAGCAGCTCCCCTTTGTGGATGTCCTCTTTACTTCTGTTTCTCTGGACCCCAAACCAAATGCTCGGTTTCTCCTGATTCCCAATGGTGGGAACACGCCTTTCACAGAAAAGATCTGTTATCTCTGCTTCCATGCCGCGGTCATCATTCCGGGCCTAAATTATGAATCCTGCCCCTATTCAAATTGTGCAGTATATTTAGAGGTGCGTGGAACATCTGCAAGCACCTTATCTTTATTTTAAAAGAAAATAAAATTTTATTCCCTCCTCAAACACGGTCTTTTAGGGGAATAAGGTTTTACGTACTCCTTGTGCATAGTAACAGTGTTGCTAGGGGGCCAGTGTTTCTGCAGAATCTCCTTCAGCCGAGGTTTCATCTTAACATTTGTCAGTGTGTTCAGTGAGAATAAAGCAGGGCATTGAAAAAGAAAACCAACACATCCCCCCCGCCCCACACACACATGCACACACATTATTCACATCACTTTAAATTTTCTCTAGATTCAAGGGTAATGGTAGCAAGGCCTTTGCTTTCCTCTCAGACATAGTGCACACCAGCTTTGTGGTGAAGTGAATGAAATCAGACCACTCTTTTGTCTTAAAAATATGTGCAAATGATGTTTTTGTCTTCATGATCAAGCTTAATTACCAAGTGGAAAATGCTTGCTTAGCACAGAGAGCAGTAATGAAATAAGTGGTTTTGAATGATAGAATTTGGATTTATTCTCCTTTGGTCAGAGCTGAGATTTTGTAGAAACTGGGGAGCTTTCCTCACAAGTGACCAAGATACACCATGTGGGATCCCATCTCACCAATCACCACTCCTTGACTATGTGCTCACCTTCAAATGCCCAGGGATCTGTGTAAAAACAAACTTTTATGTATTCAACATACCCAGTCAGTACCATCAGGGAGAAACAAGTGATTGCACTGAGTAGTTTCATTTACAAAGTTAAACTAAATCAGAGTTAGTTTCTCTTTTAACCCCCTCAGAAATATTATGACTACTCTTTAAAACCACGAAGGTCTGATCCTCAGGCATGCAAAATGAGCATGGGAATCAGACACTGGCCAGAGCCTGCTATTTACAGCAAAGAAAGGCAAGGGTGGGAAACCTGCATCCTCTCATTGCTGCTTGAAGGCCAAGTGATGTTCCTATAGCAGGAGCTTTATCTGTTTAAGCTGAAAAACATCTGTATTATTTTCAGCAAAACCCTGACTGCGTCTCAACAGAGATACGATCTAGTTCAACTAAGGTAATTTTCAAACTACAGTCACAACATTGGATTTACTCTTTTATTTAATTGGTTTAGTAGAAGATAAGATGCTGTTGCTCATAAATACATTGTTGTTTTGTTTTTCTTTAAAAATCCATTAACTTCTATGCAGGTCTTTAAATATTTATAAGATTTAAACAATCTTTTAAAACATCCTCAGAGAAGACATTGACTCTTTAGTTAAATAGTTCTTATTTCTCTGGTAGGGGAATTGTTTAAGTATTCAGCCAACTAATTCCTCAATTTAATCACAATATTTTTATACTCACATGTCTATTTTGTGTAAGCAAAGAGAAATACAAGAGAAAAAGTTGTTATATTTATGTGTAAACTACTTCCATGATGGGGATATTATGCAGTGATTCTGGAGCTGACTGTAAATTGAAGATGCTTTTAAATAAACACCTCAGGAACTCATGCCCCTCTAAATATTTATATTGTAAGGAAAGTTTTGCCAGAAAATATTTCTTATCTTCACCTTTCTTCCTTAGAGCCCTCTGAAGTGTTCAGGCTGTTTGCAATACGTGTGCTGAAGAATAAGCAAAATCACCCACAAAAGGAGCCATGAAGTTTGTGGTGAAAGCCAGAATTACAGCCAATTCCAGAGATGAGCAATATTCCCACCTTTGTTCACAGCTCATGTGCTGCGAGCATGGTCTACAAAAGCAAAGGTATGCATTGCCAATAATTCAAATTTTGTGGAGACTACCTTACACCTGACTTCTTGCAGCTGCAGGAGACACTTCTCCACAGAATATATGTTCTTACCAGAGGTCCCTTGCACAGCAAAAATCTGGGAGGGGAGTGAGGGAATGGAGGAATGTAGAGGATGTCCAGCTGTCTGTCTGTCTGTCTCAGATGCTTTTTATCCCTATGCCTGTAGAGCACAGGTGAATGAACAGAGGCTAGGTTTGTCCTTTAGCTGGCTCCTGGTTGGCTTTATTTGGTTTGTTCTTTTGCGAAATGGTTTTGGTTTCTTTGCCTGTTTGTGCCAACAGCAGAAGTCTCTGAAGACTTAAATTAAATGCCAGGCTTAGGATGTCTCCTCAGAACAATTAATTGTTCTTTAGAGCTACGGCAAAGGCAGTCTCCAGGATCAGGCAAGCTCAACAGAGTTTTCCTACACGTTTGGCTTGTGTGGAGCTCCTCAGCTGAAACCAATATTTCTTGGGCATATCTTGCTGTGAAGCAAATCTGCCTTTTGCAGTTGAGCCTTGTTTTGCCTGCCCACTGTATTGCCCCTGGCAGCCACGGCAATCAGGCACCAGCAGAAATCTCCTCTCTGGAGGGAAAATAATTAACGAGAAGAAGCAGAACCATCCATGCACATGGCTGCACCCTAAGAAGATGTTCACAAAAGTGATTCATGATAATGTTCTTAAAACAACACAGGCACTCTCTAACAGTAGCCAAAAAGAGTGTAAGCACAGGATATTTTCCAGCATTAGCCTAACCCTGTGGTGATAGCAATAAACGATGCTCTGTTTTTTTAATCAAGACACAATATTCTTGCTGGCTGATTGAAGTGTTTTTATTGGAAATAGCTTCCAAAAATGACCTGTCTTGTTAGTACTGTAAATTCTGCAGGCTAAAATCCTTTGATTCTCATTAAATTAACTAATTACTGTCTCACTGGATCGATGGATTTAGGAGCACTGACATAATCTTGCTAGGAAAGGAAAGCTGCCAAATTCCATGACTTTGCTTAAACCTATTACCCTGGTATCTGTGCACTGAAGGAAATTTATCACCATGTAATTAATGGTCTTAGTTGGTTGATTGTCATATCAGAGGGAGGCAAAGATTTAAGGTTTAAGCTAAGCAAACAAAAAAAGGCACCAGAATAACTGCATATGTAGTTTGCTTGTTTAAGGTGTTTTTTTACAAATATTAAAAAATATTTATGGGGACAAAACCAATCAACCCACATAAGGTTCTACCCAGCACTGGAAGGCAGATTCTGTTCAGGGTGCTCAGCAGCAGCGTTGAGCTGGTGATGGGCAGCAAAGGCTCCAGGTGGGCTCCAGGAGCTGCTGGGGTGCTTGTACTGTCTGGCTCCCACCAGTTGTGGACAGCAGGGATTTGCACTCTTGCACCTGTCCCAGGGATGCCTCTGCTTGGCACAGCCAGGCCAATGTCAGGGTGAGGACCCTGTGCACCAGGAGAGAGCACAGCTGACACTCAGGACCTTCAGCCCCACAGCTATTTCTTGTGGCACTGTTAAAATTCCACTTATGCTTTTTTCCCCCTAGCTTTGCAATGGACTATTTAGGCTCCTGTCCTACATGAGAAGTAAAAAACCAGGATTTTATGGTATTAGCGAGCAAATTAATCTCTAAAACAGTTGATCCATAAGGTAGGAGGACTAAATTTTAGAAAGTTAATGGTGCAAATAGGCAAAGCCCTTTCTCAGCTGCAAGCACTGCATTTTGCCCTACTCCTAGCTTAGCTGTCCAAGTGGGTTTATTATGTTTGCTCAGCTTTAATCTACACATGTTTTAACATACTCTAAGCTGTTTTTAATTTTAAACCAAGAAACCCTGGCAAATCTCTTTCAATATAATTAGAATTTTTCCTTTAGTTTGCTGTTTAGCCATTATTTTCTTATTTCCGCTTTATTTTCTGGTAGATAAATCCTCTTATTCATTTGTTTCAATGAAGCTTGAGTAAAGGTCATTTAAATTGATTCACCTTTCTTATCTCCCTTGCTTTTATTCCATAATCCTGCTTTCCATTGTGTGGAGGAGAATAGCTTTCTTTTCTCTGATTGTTTCTGCTAGAAGAAAAATGGTAAACCTTTATTAAATAAATCTTTGAAAGCTGTGCTCCAAATCCATATTATCACTAGCTTGGGGAAACAAATTATTTCACAAACTTAAGAAAACATACAGCACTTTTAGCAGGTTGCTGTTAGATGGCCTGAGCCTACTGCCTCAAGCCTCCTAAGTGAATGAGGGTAATACTTTGGTATAATTTGCAAAAGCAAAAAGAAAATCTCAGGCAGCCAAATTCAATTGTGGAGCCCTGTGGAGGTGCAGAGCAGCAGGGACCTCAGTGGGGCTGGGTACTGGGGCACAGAGCCACCCAACATTTTCCCATTAGTCCCAGACATTTCCATGTCTAGCAGCGCTGTCCAGACTCACCAGCTTGTCTCTCAGCTCACAGCTCATCTTCTGGAGCTACACGAGGCTTCAGCTTTGAAGGGAATGTTCCTGTTTTGATTCCTACCCTGAAATGCATACCTCTTCAGGGGATAGAGCAAGTTTAGAGACTCTCCGAAAGATAAGATATGAAAATAATAATGAGTGAGTATTCAGTATGCCTTGAAAAATCACCTGAGTACATACTGTTATTTTCTGTTTATAGTCAGTTGACAAGAATGTCTGCAGGCTCCTGCACCATTTTCTGACTCTGTTTCAGAGAGATGTGTTTGGTTTTTTTTCCTGATCAGGTGATGTTCTGTAATGTATGACAAATCTTATATGAATAAAATGTGGTATTTTCTAACACTGGAATGTTTAAGGAAGCCATACAATTAGGAAAATAAGAACAACCTAAACCAATCTGTTAGCAATATGTTCACATATGTAAGGGTGTATTTTCCCCATTTTAAACAACTAAATCAGAATTGCTTTATATTTTGTTGCCAAGGTTACTGAATTTTGAATAGTCTCTAGAGGGTGGTAGTTTTAACTCCTTGAATGGCATCATTGTTTAATATTAAGAATATTCTGATAAAAGCTATCTGAGCTATGGAAAAATCACTTCTTCCTTCAAAAACACCTAAAATTAAGTTGCTGCAAGGCTGGTAGGGATGCTCCAGATGCAGTTCAGGTAACCCTGCAGTGAGCTGGGCAATGCCCGTGCTGGGTTGGGAGGCCAAGGGCAAGTGTGTCAGACACAGCCATTTGGCACAGTCAAGAGCAGGGAAAGTGATGTTCAGAGGAGAAGAAACAATCTTTCAGATCAGTATCACAGGCAGAATACAGGTAAATGAGGGAAGGAAGAGAAACTGTCTCCAGGATAGGTGATAGGGATAGGGATACAGTAAAATCTTACCTTGAAATCACTGAAATGGAAGGTGAGGAACCCTGACTGCAGTGCAGAGGGAGCCAACCTCACAGAGCAGATAAAAGCTGACAATAAAGAGAGGAAAAAACATTCAGGACGCAGACTTGATCTCCTGTTCCAAAATGAGAGATAGATAGCAACATGGGGCAGGATTCCTCCAGAAAGCTGCTAGGTCCTAGAAAGGCAGTGAGAATGAGATCTCTACTCACACCCCAGCAGTCCCAGACTGCATATAAGGGACTCACTGCCATTTTGGTTTTTTCCTTTTTTCCTGCCACCTGCAGGAAATGTATTGCAGCATTACATGTTACCCCTGTTGAGGCACAAATGGGTGAGAATGGGAGGAAATGGCCTTCCCCCTCTGTGCTGGGGGATAGAAATGCCCTCCTGTGTCTCTCCTTGTTCTTTGACTCTCACACATTCACTTGAATCTAATGAGTCAAATTAATGCTTTGGCAAAAGAGTTGATAAGGAATTAATATTCAGTTTTGGGTATTGAAATACACTGGTTATACTGTGGTTTACTGCCACCCACTCATCCAAACTACAGCTATATACATTGAAATGTGTTGACATTGATATAAGTAATGATAAAGTAATTTCAATTAAATGCTTAATTGAAATATTAAAAAAGTATCCCTGTTTGATGCATAGAATGCTAGAAACATTTTATCTAGCATATATTAATCTTTAAGTAATCTGCACACAGTTTTACTATCATGAAACTAGAAATCTCTTGAAAAAATGTTTTGCACTGCACTGAGAGTGCAAATAGAGTGATGTGAGGCAGGCAACTGGAAGGTCGCTGGAGTTTTTGGGTATTTGAGAAGTGTCATTTACAGGAGGGATGCTGTAATTTTGCATTGGTATGCACTTGCTTTTGGGACCAGTGGACAGGATTGGGGTAACCCCAGTACATGTAGAGTTCTTTCAAGCTCAGGTGGCCTGAGGGCATCTCCAGGAGCTTCCTCTAAAATCTCAGCTCTGCATCTAATTTTTACTCCAAGCTCATTTAGCTGCTAGTTTGTCTTACACCAAAAGATTTTTGGTATCATCAGGTTTGTCACCAACATCTGGAGTAGTCACAGACCACAGCTGTAGAAGAACAAACCTGATCCTTGCACTGTTTTTAAGCCCACTCTTCTCTGAAATTTGGTGACCAGGCTCTTTAAATCCATGTCATTCATCCCACTGTCCCCGCTCGCCCTGTGCAGCACTCCTCTGGCAATTGAAAAATACAGGTATGCAGCACCTGCCATCGGACTCTCGAGGCAAAATGCCTTTTTAAAATCTCTAAGAAGACAGACACAAATAAGTTCAAAAATTCTTTTCCCCCTGGTAGCACAATAATGTAGGTGAAAACTTTTTTGGTTTCATTAGGTTTCAGAATATTGCTTTCTCCTGACTGCTGAGCTTCTGCGAGTTTGGCTGTTGAGCGCTGAGTGCCGCTGCTCTAAACTGGAGCCACACTACTGGGTGCTGCTATAATGACCTTCCTCATGAATATGTATGGCCAGATAAGTGAAGCAGAATAAAAGATTAGAAACTTTTAACACTCAAAACTCTCCAGAGCTTCAGCCCTGGAGATTGGAAAGGTATT